CTTTCCTCTCGCCATTTAGATCCAAAACCACTACATACTGCATCCTCATAGGGGGGGGGGGCGATGATATCCACAGAGGGTACGGGAACATCAAATGAATGTGGGCGCTGCCTTTGAGGAATACGGTATCAAAGAATGGTCTAGTTCTCTTGCTGAATATCTATGAAAGGAGCATACAGAGGCTGCTGCTCTCAAGTTACACTAAACTCTTTCAATTCAATTTAAGGCGACATGTAAGGAAATGTTCCATTATTCCGCTCCACGCTATGTGGCGAATGGTCGTATGAGTTGTAGAGGGGATAAAGGAAGAGTTGAACCTTGAGTTGCAAGTCAGGAGATCCGGGTTGAGGCGACACGTCCCTCGAGTTGCGTATGGCATGTGTGCCGCTGCAAAGTTGACTCATAGGGCCTCACTGAGGCTACAGAAAGGGTATATCATCCATGGAAAGCGACATAACCTTCCTGGAACCTCACTCGACCTCACCGTCATCCCCTTCCCCACCTAGCAAAAACATGATGGATTGCTTCCTAGAGATCTGTCGCTCTCTTCTTTCGCGACCTTTAGAAAACTTTAGAGCAGTCACGTAGAATTTTACTTGCTCAGTAAGTATAGAAAATTCATCGTGTATTATACCTTAGAATTTTAGTGATCATGGCGTCAGAGATGCTTGCAGTAAACGAACAGTCACGGTCTCGCATGCAGTCCATTGCGAAATTTGCAAAAGTGGGTTTTCTTTGACTGATCTACGATCTATCAAGCCATCATCTAATTCTCCTATGCCCTTATCAGCCCTATCATACTTGTGGTCTCCTAATCCTAATGCACTTGTCCCTTCGTCCCGTCTCTTTTTCAGCAGTGCAGAACGTGCAAGTCCGTTGGCATAACGGTTAAAAACAATTAATTTGGTATGATAAGACAGACCTTATCACTTGAAAAACACGTCAAGTCACAGAGAACCAGTAGCCCTATAAGTACAAATAGGTGTGGCACAGTAAGACTGTACTGGTCCTATATAAAAGTTTGCACATCAGCTCCCAGGAATGTGTGTTTCCCAGACCGTATAAGCATGCGGTTACCCTG